ATAGTCAAGATATGGTCCCTTTTCCCTGGACATCTCTTCCCAGAGTGTTAGAAGTGGAAGAGGAGGCAAAGACTATTGCTGTGCAGTAATGATGGCTTAGTAGCTGGTTTTTCTATTCGGAGCTGAGGACGGGACTTTGAGCTTTCCCTGGGTAATTTTACTTCTGTGTGTGTGTGTAACAGCGCTAAGTGATTCTCTCAGGTAATAAAATCGTTAAAAGAATTTGCTTATACATCATGTTGTCCCTATTTATATGGTACAGAATATAGAACTGTATTAATATGTAAGTTCAAAGGATAAAGAAATAACTGATCATAAATACATTAGCTGTTATTGAAACCAGTCAGAATTTCACTCTCGGTACAGTTGAAACGGAATCAAATCTTGAAAATGTTATGTTAGGTAAGCACTGTCTGGTAGAAAGAAGTATGGGAGGGCAAATCAAATCTCAGTTTTCTGAATCTGAAGATTAATGTTTAATTTTTTAAAAATAGATTTTCTCATGAAGGATTCAGTCGTCTTAGATTCTGGTCACCGAATAGAAATTCAGATTGCAAAATTTCTGTAGTGTGTTTTCTGATAACAGCCAAAGTCAGTTTTGAAAGTAATGCCGAGATTTGGCTAAATATGTTTAGATTACAGGAATTAGTTGATTTTGTTAAGAGTTCAGGGAGGAAATGGTATTTCAGTGTTGGAGCCTGCAGGGGTTGCATTTCTGGGGGTGAGGGGGTGGGGTTTGGTTTTCCTCTTATCAAGAAGACAGACTGTCCTGGTTTGAGGTAAAACAGAACCAATTTTCTGTTCAGTAACTTTACTTTTTAGCTAAGCCTCTTCTCACTACTGAAATTAACAGCATATTATGCAGACACCATTTGGTCTCAGAGTGATAAGACCTATGTTTATGGCTGATGCCAAGGCATGGTATGCAGACAGGTTCCTGCTTATACTTATTGCTGTAACACCCAGGGCCAGATAACTCTGTTATGTGCCCCGTTGGAGGGTCGGCAGCTGAAAAGTGTAGAGGTGTCCCACCTGCAGGGAGGAGCAGACTGGACAGGTGACCCAGAACTGACCAACAGGGTATTCCATCCCATCTGCCTCATGCTCAGTATAAAAGCTGAGGGATCGAAGAATCAGCTCTTTCTTCAATGCCAGGTGTCCGAGGAGGACTCTGTTCGTCTGTCTTTGATCCCAATCCTGAATCCGGATCTGGAATTCAATTCCCATCCATCACTGAGTCCAGTCTGGGACTTTCCTCACTCCCAGCCGGTGACGTGATTGTCATCCTGGGAGCTTGTGTGTATATTTCTTTTTTTCCTCCTTTTTATTATTTTATTATTAATTTTTCATTAAAGTAGTTTAGAGTTTTTTCTAAACTCATAAATCTCTTTCTCTCTTCCCTTTTTCCCTCCTCGGCAAGAGGTGGGGGAGAGCATCTGTCATTCTGCCTGAGTGGTCAGTCCGGCCCAAACCACGACACAGACATTCACTGCGAGAAGTCAGAAATTGTTATTTAGTCACTGCCTGGAGAAGCAAGGGCTTACAGAAAGCTTCCCACCCAATATCACAAGGTTTACAATAATACGTATATATTTGGCAGCACTTCTTGACCATTAGGATCTGAATGATAAACACTATTGTATACTTACTTTTCCACCATATTATCTTTTAAATTGAATGTGGAGAAGATTATTAGTCACAAATAACAGTGGCAAACTTAGGGGGAAGTTTCCCATCTAGCTAAGCCAGCCTAATGGCTCATTACTGCTGAAAAGTGATCCCTTGCTTCACTGGTGGTGTAAATATTCCAGCTCTTGTAGCATCAGCTCTGTCTTGCTAACCTCACTTGCTATCAGCCGTTAATAAAATCTGTGAAGGTACTAGAGATGCGGACAGTCTCTTTCAAGTAGCTGTTCTTTCTGCCAAAATTTAGCGTTTATGTCAATACATAGGCTTACTGGGCAGGGAGTGGTACTGCAGCCTGGGAAGTGGATAAGGCTGAAACACTTTCCTCTTTTTTTTTAAGTTTCTTACACATCTGATGAAAATGTGTGGTTAAACAGAAAAATGATACTTCAGAGACTGTCATTGCAAAAAAAAAAAAATTAAGTAATTTTGCAGTACAGATTACTTTAGTATTAGATTGCATTCTGTCATCTTAATTTTTTTTTCTCTCATGTCTAGCATTTTGGTGTCATGTCCACAGCGCCGAGGAATATTTTGTTTCTTAACACTGTCTCTTAATACTGTGGGCTTACTTCTTGCATACTGTAGAGTGTATGCATGTTTTTTAGCATAGCTTTACCCTCTTTCTGCATTGATAAAGCAAATTCAAGATGAAATGAGTTAGTAATCTTTTGAGCATTCTGAAATCTCTGTGTGAGGTTAATGAGTAGGGATGCAATAGGAACGTGGGGAAGGGATCTGCAGGGAGAGGCTGGTCCTGTACAGCAGCAGCGAAAATGCTGCTTTGCTGTGGAGTTTCTTAATTTTTATAGGCAATTATTAGCAGGTCTTTTTGGTTTGGGGGTATTTCTGCCTTGCTCGTTGAGTTAGCTCTTAGGAGGAGCTCTCTTCAAGAGAAGCATTGGCGTATTTCATTGTTGCTAAAAGTAGCACAGTTATTTTTGAGGATTGATTTATAGGAGTTAGGAATGTTCATTTTTACTATTGTTCTGGGTTTTTATGTGTTTGCGCTGGTCTGCCAACTAAAACAAATGTCCATGTATGTTTATTGATGGCTGTAAAATACTTTCTACACAGCAAACTGGAAAAAGGACGATAAATTGGTTTGGGAAGCTCTATAACATGCTCAACAGTGTCTAGTTTTCCTCCGACTTCCATGTGAATTCCCCACTGCAATTATTCATGTGCCGCAAGCACCGAGTGTAGATTTCAGCAAGCGGTGCTTATCCTGGGGACAGTCCCTGACATGGGCACAGTGACAGCAAGACGATGGCCAGGAAGGCAGCTGCTGCGTTGAAGTACCCTGAGAATAGCGGGTGGCTTTGGAAGAGCCACAGGTAGAATGACAGCAGCTCAGCGGCAGCATCAACGGTACCCATCACCCCAGGAAGGACTCGAAGTTGACCTCCCCACCCAGCAAGCAGTGATCTTTGCTTCTCTTCCGCATCCTAAAATGTGGTAGCATTTACATCTTTACTTGAATGGTGGACAACCTGGGGTGGCCACCAGCTGAAGGGTGCCAATGGGACGCTTGTCTATTAATTGTGCAAGATTTCAGTACCCTGTATCTTAGATGCTTCCTGGAATTCAAGGAGGAAATCAGTGTGAGTTTGTTTAGCTGCAGTGTACATAGTAACTAATGGTGATCTCAGGCAACCACCCACTACTGGGAGAGGTGAGATCAGGACGTGCCTTTCTTTTTGTTCTTTCTTCCTTTCTTTCATTTTTTCCCTCCTCTGTTCTTGCATAATCATAATACAGTCCTTAAAAGGTCCAATGTGGAATCTACATTTGGGTCTCATAGCTATTTGGGTCTCATCGCTACTATGGACATAATAAGGGCCAGAATGGTCTCTAACCAAATGGTCACTAAGAAAATCTCTCTGAAGGTAAGCTGTGAAAAAGCCAAACCAGGGTCTCCTGTGTCTTCTAGAGCATGTGCCAGGACAGCTAAAGCAGGTTCTTCTGTGTTGCGAGAAAAAAGCATTCGCCGCAGACATCTTGAAAGTGACCACTTTGAGGTCTCCTCCTTCCTACAGAGATGTTGCACAACTCGAGATGTTGGTTTTGCCATATTGGGCAAAGATGTGGTTTGGTTTGTTTTGAGCCTCTAAGTTGCAGGCTCTGGGTGGACTGGTCACTGTTTTGGCATCCCCAGCAGTGGAATGCATGTGTGGAGGATCAGAGGATCAGATCGCTCAGAGGAAGAAGAGAGTTTACTGACATCCTTATCCACATTCCAGGGCATGCCTTTCATCTCCTCATCTGCTCCCCCATGCTTCATGAAAGAGAGGGCAATTAATGTTCCACCATTTGCAGGGACAAAGCTCAAGGGGCTCTGGCCGCTTGCGTCCTTTGTGTGTGCTGTGAATTCCCCTGAGTTTGGGTGTAGGAGGTACCTGTGCAGCCACAGTGAAGCAGATGATACAGCTAAGGGATGTTTCAGCAGTTTGGTACTCAGACTAAGGATGTGGGTTTGGTTTTTTTGTCTACAGTATATTCAAGAATTTGCATTCATGCTGTGTGACCTGTCCATGCGAGTGGAGTACAAATGACAAAAGACAAATACATTAGGTCATCAACAGTCATTGACATCTCCACAGCAATATGTTGATTTATGCCACCTAAGGAGGGAACCCAAGATTATTTTTTTTCCCGCTTCTTGGGGAAGCGGGGAGAGATGTTTAATCAAACTTGAAAAATTCCTTTGGATGACAGCAGTAAGTCTAACGGATGACAGTATTCATGTCAAACCTGTTAATTTGGTGTCTCATGATTTTATTAGTTTAAAAGAGATTGCTTGACTTGTAAGCATCTGCTTAAAACCAATTACAATTGTATGGAGTGTTGTTTATTAAATATAGGGGACTTGTTCATTTGTTTCTGAAGAGCAATGATGCTTTATCGTCTTCATTCTGAATTGCCATGTTCAGTGCGTCTGGTTCATTTATACCACATTTTAAGAATTATATGTTGATCTGGGTGTCTGTATGTGTGTGTGTATGTGCTATGTACATAACTGACCGAATTATACAGATAAAATTTAAAGTCTTGAAAGTGATTATTTTGATAATTGCAGGTATTAAAAGTTGGATACATTAGAGTTCTGTATTCTTATTTAAAGTTCAAACAGGTTATACGGGTGTTGGGGTTTTTTAAATCAGCTTTTATTTATTCTAAAAATATAAATAAGTCATAAATACCATCTCAAATATTTTAAAAGCATAAGTTATACAACAGTTTTTCTGGCTTCTGAAAATACTTTTTTTGCTGTTGTTGAATACATATTAAATAAGTGGATGTTCTGAATAGTACCATTAGAAATGAAATAAAATAGGTCCTTTGTTTAAATTATTTCTAAATATCGAAAATATAAATACAAAACATTAGAAACGAATAAATATTTTAAATACAATAAATAGGTTCCTGGAAGGAAATTAGAATATTATATAAATGCAAACCATTGTTACTATTTTTGGTTCTTAAAACAGAACAACACTGTCATCTGCCACATGACAGATTTGTAACAAAGGATTGTGCCTGAACTAAAACATTCAGGCACTGAAACTCCTGGTGTTTTTCAAATAGCGAACGGCCCTCACGGTTTTCTCCATAAACGAAGTAAAGTCTCGGAGGATGAGGTGGGTGGTGATTTTCTCTATCCAGGTCTTATTGGACTTCAGCTTTGCGCGGAGGGACTCCTGGGTAGCTGAGTCGGGGATGATCACTTCATCGGGTTTTATCACCTGTGGAAAAGACAATATTGGGGTGCCCCGGTTAAAACATTGTAATTGAGCTTGCGGGGGAGCATCAGTTTATATGTATAACATGTTCCAGACCAGCTGCGGATGACAGACCTCCCTGGGACCTGTGCCTCCCTACAGCCCCGCTTCTACAGTGGGGTCTGAGGGACCTTGGCACCTGCTACGGTTACTGCGGAAGAATCAGAGGGTCTCATCTGATCTGTACCATTTGTTTGGGTCTGAATGCAACGTCTGGCATCGTGGTCCAACATGCTGCATTGAACAGGTCGATACACCTCTCCTGCTACCTGCCAACCGCGTGGTTACTTGTGAAGATGCTGAACATGATTTGTCCTAACCTGTACTGGCTGCTCCATCCTGAGTCATAAGTTAATTAGATGACATTGAACTACTCTCACAGTTTGTGGATTAAGAGTTTCTAAAGATGTCAAACTTGTTTAGCCGCTTAATTCTTACTTTCCAGGCATTTAGGCACGTGGGAGACTTAAGTGTCACCAACTTTCACTGATGTGTGGGATGCTAGCTGCAAGATGAGTGAAAGGAGCTTTGTACCTAATGCTGACTGACAGTGCTAGGCACCTGGTACCCAAATGTCTTTTAAGAATTTATCCCATGAAGCAGGTAAGCGACTTCTAAAAATGGGAGTTTCCCAAATCATAGAGCTGTTTTAGATTATTTGGGGTCTAGAAGTCTAACAATAAAGTATCTACTTCATCCTGGTTTTAGGATCTACCCTTTAATAAGAGACAACAGCACGTGAACCTCCTTCTGGAACATCTTTTTTGTGAAATTCAGTAAGATAGGAATATTTTTTTCTGTCCAGACTACTTGGAAGTGAATTCTGATCACGCACCCAGTTACTGGTATATCCCAACTCCTTGTTGCATGCTGTAAAAGTTTGTATCCGGATATCCAGACAGGTGTCGTGTTGATGGATCTACCTGACCACAAGTGACAGATCCTGTCCTTGCTCTCCTTGCCTTAAATAGCAGATAGACTTCTCTCAAAAAACCCACAAAAAACAAAACAACCCCAAAAAACCCCAAACCAAACCCCAGACTTCCAACCTGGAGATCAAGACTCCTCTTTTTCTCAAAATCTCTATAGTTTCCGTAAGTACAGGTTTTGCTTTTGACTATTGTATTTAATTCTGCCTGTTCTAGTTACCTCGATCTTTCTCACTTTCAAAAATGACTAGTCTCCCCCAGTTATGAAACAGACTTTCTACAAACTAATACATCAAGTTGGAAGCCAGCAGTCGGTTGCTGTCTTACGATGGGACTATTCTTCTTAGCTAGTACGGTGTGAAAAAAAGCAGTTCAGCTCCCTTTCACTGAAAGAATGACGGACATAAATAAATGTGTCAGGAAAGGTATGGCAAACATACAATGGGCTTTTCAAACACTGAATAACACCTTGAAGGAAATAATGCCCTGAGATTTCTGCAGTCCTTACTCACCTGGGTGGTTCTTACTCAGGCAAATAGTTTCCCTGATGACAAAGTATTCATGTTAAGGGTTATTAACGTGAGTAAGAACTGCAGGAATGAAGTGAATTTTTGAAGTGTGATCTTTCATAGCTCTCAAAAACATAGGAAATGACTGTGAGATATGAATAACATTTAGTTTACCGAATCGAAAGAGAATTATGTGTTTTTAAAGAAGGAAGATTTGTTTTTCATTATGATTGCTAGTGAAAAGTGTGCTTTTCAATAGGCAGCACCTTTTATTTAGTCAAGTTATTAAGTTATGTTTTGAATTTAACTGCCTTGATTTTTAAGCTACTTGTATCTCAATATACCATACAACTTGGCTTAAAAGTTTGTTTTGGAGAGTTTTAAAGATTAATAATATTGTAAAAATGTATTTGCTTTCATTTATGTATTTTTTTTAAAAAAACCCTTATTTCTACTTCTGGAGGGGGTTGCAGCATTAGAAGGCTTGGACTGAACTGCAGTTCTGCAATTAGGAACAAACTCACTGAGAAATCTTACTTCTATCAGTCAGGCAGCATTCGTATATTTGTTCATAAGACAATATGATGCATTTCATTGTTGGTTTGGAAATTAGAAATAACAATGGAAAGTAAAAAGAAGAGTTGTTTCTTTAAAAAGGAAAACGAAACCTTGTAAAACCTGTTAGTCATAAGGGTAAGTGAGCATAAGGAGCCATCACCTGTTTCCGCTAAGAGAAATGAAAGTGGGAAATGTTCAACTTCCCATAGCATCCTATTTCTCTGACTACACATCGATGCTAAGCCATAACAATTATTGGAGTGAATTTAAAACCAACTCACCATCTGCCTTATGGTACGTGCCAGGTGCTCTGTACTATAGCACAGCAATTCCACATTTTGCTTTTCACTAGTAAAAGTTTCTTGTACGTATTTAAGGTATGTCTGAAATGTATAAAGCCCGCTGGAGATTTTCTTCAAGCATTTGTCCTGAAATGAGAGGAAGGTGAGAAAGTCACTTAGAGCTTAGAAATGCCTTGATCGCAATATTGGGCACACAGTGCAGGTAAGTGGGTGATGCTTATACAGAGCGTGGAGGTCTGTGCCACCCCAAAGCCAGCCAGAGCCGGCACAAATCTTTAGGTCGACTTCTGCAGTTTTTTGGAGCAGGCAAAAAAGTACCGCTGGGGCTTCTTGCCCCAGGTATATAGGATTAGACCAGAAAGGAGAGGAGTTCCTTGCCTCATCGAAGCCGGCGAGCAGACACCCATCTTCCTCTGTCACCTTGGGGAGGTTGAGGTTGTTCTGGACGAGCATCTCCATGCTGTTCTCACAGACGGTAAACTTCTCGCACATCTGGGGAGAGACACCGAGAGGTTTCATCTCACCTTTGCCCGTAGGGCAGCGGCCCCCCCCGCCCCGGGCCGGCTGTGAACTAGCGTACGAGCCCTCTGCCCTCTCTCCCCCTCCCCGGGCCGCCCGCTACCCACCTCCTCCTGCAGCTGAG